TTTTAATTTAAAAAGACAGAAAAATGAACTAGTGTTTTAGTTTATTTTTTCCATTATTACACTAATAACTGAAATAATATTCACTTCTTAATCATCATACTAATCTGTTGTTAGATTGGTATAACATGTAGTACATAAAGCCATGGCCACCATCTCCTCACTTCGTAATCCCATTATCCAAGCCTGAACAACAAAAAGTTATTTTTGGTTTATATACTAAGTCTTTTCTAAGACACTGTTATCTGTTATTAGATATCTACATAGAAGTGATATGTACATATCAGATGTATTTTATCTGTATAGTCATAAATTACTGCTTTAAGTTTGCATTTTTATTAGACAATAAAATAGTTTAAACAGGGAAGCCAAAATTAGTGGCCTTTCTTCCATTTACAAAAGTTGATCAATACTCGTATTGAAACATTAATTTCAGCCATCTTGTTTGTTATTTGTGGTCCAAGTCTACATTTTAGCCTTATAATTAAGCTGAAAAAAATATTTGTAGATGATATTTGGATTGTTCTCAAAATAGTTGCTCATGAACTGAAAGCTTGTGTTTGAGGCTATTTGTGTTTGTCTTGCTTCAAAAATCTGGAAGCCATGCTATTTTTGCTAGAGCATTTGATTTGTTCCTTATGTAGACTGTTTTGATTGAAAAAGATGATCGACAATTACACTTGGATGCTGCTTTTTTGTTAACAGAAAATATCAAGGTTTCAGATAATTTCTTTTTTTTCAAAATATAGAAAAAAGCAGTTGGAGAAAAAATTGTTAGACAATATGAGAATAAAATAACAAGCATAAATTTAGGGTAATTTTTACATTAATTGCTTAAAAATTATATATTTTTGGACCATTATGGCCAGTTATGTAGGTTTTTGTAGGACTCTTAAAATACTGCAAAAATATCATTAATTAAAAATGTCAAATATTATTGACATAGCTTTTATGGGAAAACATAGTAAAGTTACTTGCTTTAGATTTGAATTCTGCACAGTTCAGGTAGATTGTACTCATGGTCCTATCTCAGCTATGACCTTTAATACCGAGTGTCTCTACCAGATATGACATGGTGGGTGACCTCTGCTTGGTGCTCGATAAATAAATACTGTGTTGGTGGATCATGAATTAGGGAGCTCCGCTTTTTGATTGGTAAAAATGAGAGGAGGCCAACTATGGAGGGACACAGGAGGCTGAGGCAGGAGGATTGCTATAAGTTCATAGCCAGCCTGGGCTACATTGGTGAGACTGTCTCCAAAAAAAAAAAAGCTTAATAAAAGGCTTTAGGATATTTCCTTTTATATATGAATCTACTTAGTCACAATATAGTTAATTGAAGTAAAATACCCTCCACCCCGATGTGGTGTAATAAATTAACAGGTAACATTTTCTTTTTACTTATTTATTTTTTTTTTTTAGAATTTGAATAATGGCAGAAAAATAATATAAAAATGATTTCTTTCTGAAAAAAGACCAAGTGGCCTATCCTGCTTTAAAAGTGGAGATAAGCAACCTTTGTTGCTTTTTTTTACCATCGCCTGCTCAGTTCCTGGCCACCTAGCCTACCTACCTACTGGCGTCTTGGAGACCTCTCTGAGGCAGAAGGAACACTGATCAGAGCAGCCCCACGCTGTTTTACCTCATCACTAGAGCAGTGAAGTCCCATGAGAGACTTTTCCTTGACCTGTTTCTATCAGAAATTGCCCTCTTTGGGGTCTGAGCGAAGGAGGACAGGCTTGTGGAATGGGTCCTTCCGATCCCTAGATAGCCTCATTTCCTGGATAGCAGCATATTAAGGAATATATTAAAGTTAGAAAACCACTGGGGGTGATCACAGAGGTCATTAGATTATGAATGTCCTTAGATTTGATTATTAGCTTGTGGATAATGACTACTAAATGAGCTTTGGGACATTAGGCAAGGTAACCTCTCTAAACCCCAAGACCTTATCTTTTTTTTTTTGCTACTGAGGTTGAACTCGGGTCCTTGGGCTTGATCAGCAGGCAGGGAAATGACTGAGCTAAATCCCCGGCCCAGCCCATGACCTTATCTTTGAAACAGAGTTGTAGGATCAATCTGAGATGTTTGCCAGGAAAACTGAATAAAACAAAGTGCATTGCTGAGGGTTCTTAGTGATAAGCCCTAGAATCTGGGTCTGACTGGTTTAAGCAGAGATTTGGAGTAGAAATAGGAAATTTCAGCCTCACTAGATGGGCAGAAGAACTGGACTCAAAGATTATACAGCCCTAAATTAGTCACAGTCCTGACATACAAGCAATCTGGTGAGGGTTGTTGCATTTTTCCTGAGTATTGAATACCATGGGTCACATTCCCTGCACTGGGGCTGTTAATAACAGTGTCATCACTGCTGCCTTTGGAACTAACCCGGCTGCTGCTTCTCAAAAAAAGTCTCTTTTGTCTCTGGTTCTTTGTATCACTTGCTCCTGATGGACAGTCTCAGGCCAGTGATTCTGTGCCACTTAGCCATGCCTTGCAGTAGGGAACCTGGGAAAGTAAGTTAATATATGATCAGCATTGGTGCAGGACATGAGCTCTTCCCACCATGAAGATTTAGAAAACTGGGAATTCCCAGAACAAAGAGGTGTTCAGAGCTGGGAAGTTCAAAAGGTGATAAATTGCCACTACTTGAAAAGTGCTCAGTATTGTGCCTGACATATGGCAAGTGCCCAATAAGCAGTGGCTTTTAAATTTATATTTGTCAGTCTTTATTGGGAAAAAAAGGTTGGGGAGATTTCTACTCCCACATTTGGTTATTTGAAGCAAATAGAGAGGAGCTGCTAGAACAATAAAGATATGATAGGTGGCTGAATTTAAGTTCCAGGCTTAGAATTTACAAGGTAATATTACGTCCACAAGATGATACTTCTCTGTTTTTGAGTAACTCAAGGGTAATCCTGGGCTCATTAGCCAAAACGTGTATGCACCCAGGTTGCCACCAAGGCTCCTCTGCCATTCTTTAGAGTGGTTGGTACAGACTGACTGTCTTTCTCTCTCTCTCTCTCTCTCTCTCTCTCTCTCTCTCTCTCTCTCT